TCCTCCTCCGCCTTCCGAGTAGCTGGAACTACAGGCGCGTGCTACCACGCCCGGCTAATTTTTTGATTTATTGTAGAGATGAGGTCTCACCAAGTTGCCCGGGCGGGTCTCAACCCATGGGCTCAGGCAATCCACTCACCTCAGCCTCCCAAGGTGCAGGGTTACAGGCTGAGCCACCGAGCCCTGCTGTATTTTTTTTTTTTTTTGAAAGCGGGATTTATTGGGAGGACAGAAAAGCTCCCACAGTGGGAGGGGACCCGAAAGGGTTGCCCTATTTTATTTTATTTATATATTATTGTGAGATGAAGTCCATGGGCCTCATCGGACTACCGAAACGGCTGAGAGTCTTTATCCTACAGCCACAAGATGGACAGAGACCCACTCCCCAAATTTCCACAGGGAGGATAATCACCCACAGACCAGCAACACTCACACTGGATGGGTACATAAGCAAGAAATATGTCACTACAGTGTTCAGCCGTGGAAACAGTGGGCTTGCTTGTTACTGCAGTCTAGCCTTCCTACGGACTAATACACCACGTCTGGGGGAATTCTATTACTGCAGAGAGCAGCGTCCCTTGACAGGAAAGCCCAGAGACCCAGCCAGGGGAAGTGTCTGGCCACCGGGTGAAAATGGGGAGTGGAGACTCCCACTGCTCGGGGACCCCGATACTCACAGTGCCGCCACGTGATGCTGGGGCTCCACTCACTCCAGGTGCTGTTATACCTCTGAGCCCAGGCCTTCACCCGCACCCCGTAGGAAACCCCAGACTTCATGGTGCTGGCCGCGAGGCGGAGAGTGGGTTCTAGGTAGGTCACATTATAGATTCTGACCTGGAAGAGAGAACGGGGATTTCGTGTATCAGCAGGGGCCAGAGGGCACCAGTTCCCACCCTGGCTGCTGCCCTTTGCCGACCCCACAGTGTCTAAGAGCCAGCCAGCCTGGGTATCTGGGTGTTCCTTCTATTCAGACCACCACGGCGTGCCACCTTCATAACAGTGATGGAGTTGAGCAAGATAAGACGGGGCAGGGCGCCCGGGCCCCATACGAACTAGCCTTCTTACGTTACTCGGGCAAATGGTTACCTTGCTGAGTTTTCGTTTCCTCATCTGTAAAACAAGGGTAAGAGTCCTGACCATACCACCACCTTCCGGCTGTGCAACTGTAAGTGATATAACCCCTCTGGACTTCCATGGTCTTTTCTCCAAAATGGGATTAATAAAAGTGCCTGCCCCAGTGCTGTTGTGAGAACTCAACACTTAGAGAACAGGGCCCGGCACACCGGAAGTACAGGGTCTGAAGCACCATAGGGTCGATGCATCCCTCTCTATCCCACATGGGCTCCTAGCTTCCCTATAATCAAGCCCAAACTCACTGGCCTAGAATCTAAGGTTCTGCCCAATCTAGCCCCCACTGGGCAGTGACCTCCAAGACCTCTTGTTAAGCAAAAAATGTAAGATGTAGATTAGTATGCGTTCTCTGCTTCCTTTTATGTGTTTAAGAGAGGGAAAGCTGGCATAGCAATCACTGCGGACAAACCCTAAGAAGGTCCCTTTGACCCCCACTTTGACTCATGTCCTTGTGTCACCTGGTGTTTTTGAGTGTGGGTGGGACCCGTGACTTGTCTCTAACCAGCAGAATATGGCAAACGTGATGGGGTGTGCAGGGGATTGCAAGGATGTAATTAAGCAACTCTGCCTTGATGGCTTTGAAAAGGCCACAAGGGAAGGAACTGATCCAGCAAATAACAGTGCCTCTCAGACTCACAGCTGGCAAGGAGCTAAATGCTGCCAAATTCACATGGCTTGGAAGCAAACCTTCCCCAGCTGAGCCTCCGATGGAACCGCAGCCCCAGCCCATACCTTGATTATAGCCTTGCAAGACGCTAAGGCAGTAGACCTGGCTAAGCTGTGCCCAGACTCCCAACCTACAGGAACTCAGATAATAAATGTCTGCTGTTTAAAGCCGTGAAGGGGGTAGTAACATTATTATGCAGCCACAGAAAACTAAGGCAGTGATGGACGCACACATGCGCTTGTTAAAGGCAGAAACTCTCTCTCAAAGGGCGCCCTTGCCCTCTGTCTGCTCTCACTTGCAGTCCTCTCCCTCCTAGCAAGAGGCAACAGCAGAGCTTGACTTCTGGGGAGAGAAACAGGAGGCTGGGGTTGAGAGAATAGCAGAATTCCATTCTGAATCATTTTGTACCACTTGAATTGTTACCTCTTGTAAACTTTTCTTTTTACCCAATAAAAAGCTTTAGCCTCTCCAGCAGCTGTTATTTTTTGAGTTGTTGAAGAAAAAAAATGAAGAAAAAAAAAAAGCTTTAGCAAGTGAAAAATGAAATGAAAGCTGTGTCCGCAACCACCAATTCTGATGGCGAGTGAGTGGCCTGCATCCTGTGATGCCTCCCGCTGAGTCTGAGGGGATCCCCCTCCTTCCCCGTGCAGCCCGGGAAAGGTTTTCACAACAGAGAAGCGGCCTGCTGGCAAGCCCCTGCGGGAGGAACTGTGGGGAGCCGAGAGCTTTCCTGCTGCAGCAGGGCTGAGGGTGGGAAGTGAGTCTACTCTCCCCATCTCTTGTCTTTCTTTTGCAACCACTAGATGTATGTTACCAAAGAAACCTTACACCCTAGGAATGAGCTGGGAATTGGGAAATGGACTAAGAAACAAAAGAGAAACTAGAGCTTCTAAGGAACTACTTGTGGCTTGTTTGTTTTTTGAACAAGAAGGCCAGGTGTTTGGGAGACCCCTCTGAGAGAAATGCCCAGGAGAGAAAAAATTGCTTCAGGTTCTGGAGTTCAAATCCTGGGTTCAGATCCCAGCTCTACCATGTCCAGCTGTGTGACCCCGGGCAAGTCTGTTTACCTCTCCGGGCTTCAGTTTTCTCATCTCTAAAATGGAGAGACCAACATACAATATACCTTCCCACCTACAAGGCTTTCACAATAACTGCTGACAATATAAGAAATGGTAACCATTATTATTGTGAGCATGGCATTCAGGGCTCTAAACAGACCTGTGGCCTCATTTTCTGCTTTTTCACCACTCACTCCCACACCCCAGACCCCACATCCCCATAATTCTCAAGTAAATATTCCATGGCTTTTCATACCTCCAAACCTTTTCTCATGCAGCCCCCTCCACCTGATCTACCCTTTTCTTCCTTCCCTACCTAGAAAACTCCTATGCACCCTTCAGTGCCCAGGCCCAAACTCCCCTTGCCTAGATATCATCCAAGGGAATGAGTAGTTCCACTGCCAAAATGCTACAGTCGGTTCCTAATGTCTCTTCTTAAAATGTATCCAGTCTGAGCTGCAGCCGGTGTCTGTAGTATCTATCTTGGGTCAGGTGTCCACTGCTCAGGACAGGAAGACCCGTCCCTAGCTCCAGGGTTCGTCGTCACCGGTCTAAGCCCATCCCCTGGCCTGTGACGGCTCAGAGGGAGCACGTGGCCAGCTCTGGCCACCGACTAAATTCTTCAGGCTAGGCTCTGTCACTGAGAAGGGATGGATGGAGTAAAGTCTCCGTAACTTCCGTCCCAGCAACTAGAGAAGCTGGACGTCTCTGTTCTGCCCCAGACCTGGGGTCCCGAGACTTGGGGCAGCCCTGAGCAGCCGCATGCCCACCAAGCATGGCCCCAGCACACTGACCAATCCAATCCTGTGGCTGGTGCCCAGGGCCAGGCCCTAAACCCAGCGAGCATTTCAGCCAGCCCAGCTTCCCCCTCCCTGGAGTTTCCTTTTGGAAGCCGCTCCCACCTTTTCAGTCCATCTGGTTCGGGAGGGGGTGAGACCCTTCTCCTCCAGAGAAGGGCATGTGACTCATGCCTGGCCAATCAGAACATTCCATCAGCACGCTGTCTCTTCCTACAGCCAGGGATTGGTTCAGAGACTGCTCTGACGGCAGCTCGTGGCAGGCATGTGACTCACCCCCAGCCAATCAGAGCACTCCACCAGGGCCCTCTCTCCTCCCACAGCCAGGGGTGGGTTCAGAGACTGCTCTGCCTGCAGCACCGGTGGGCATGTGACTCATCCCTGGCAAATCAGAGCACTCCATCAGCACCCTGTCTCCTCCCACAGCCAGTGATTGGCTCAGAGACTGCCACGTGATCCATGCCGGCCCAAGTGAGCGTCAGCCCTAGAACATTCGTTGGGACTGTAAGGAAAAGGAAGGCAGAACAAAAATCCTTTTCCCACTATGGCTTTGGGATGTGGGCCTGGAGCTACTAGTGTGCCTGCCTAAAAACGAAGCCAACACAGAATAAAGGAAGGCCAAGAGCTAGACAGATTCCTGGAGGCTGGATCCAGCCATGCCTGAAGGTACCCAAGAAATAGGGAAATCAATAACATTTCTTTGGACTCTCTAAGTGGTACCTCTCTCTCCCTTCCAGCCCATCCTTGGGACTCCCAGTGGGCCTTGCACAGGCCTGGGACGTGAGAAGAAGCTTCATGGACAAAACCGAACCTGTCCCTTTCTCTAACATCTGTACACTCTCCCCGTGCTCTCTGAGTCCGTGCTATGTGAGCCAGCTGCCCCATCCCTGCTCCTTCCCCACATCCTGGCCCATCCTGGCCCAGTGCCAAGGGGAACCGACCTGGGAGATTTAAACCGACACCCTGCTGCGTCGCTGGCTTGGTCAAAAAGAGAGTAAGCAGCGACAGGTGCTAGTGTGAGAGCTTAAGTGGGCTGGTGCCTGCTCCCTGCCAGTCAAGGCAAGGCCTGCCTGGGTCCGGGACCCAAGGCGTGGCACAGAGAAGCCCCCCACAAACCTGAAGGAGCGGGCCATAGCCCAGTGTGCAGGATGCGAGGTGGGGGGGCTCTCCAAGGTCTGGGGCGTGCAGGAGAGAAAGGCAGGGCGCTGAGGACTGAGTGTGCCAAGCTGGGGAGTTCATCTGTGTCACACACTTCCTGCTCTCACAGCCCTGGGGGATGGGTGCTCTTGTCACCCCCATGTTATCAACGCGGAAACTGAGGCACAAAGAGGCTGCAGGACATGCCCAACATCACACAGCTGGCAGGGGGCAGATTAAGGCGCTGGAACCTGGCTCTGGGGACGCCAGGGCCCCTGGTGTCCCAAGCCTGTCCTTACAATGGGAGTGGGAGGAAAGCGGATTCGGGGGAAACACGGGTGATCGGAAATGACCTCCCTCACACCTGCAGCTGAAAGAGAGGGCCAAGCCCCCCACCCCGGCCGGCCCCTTGCTTAGTTGACCGTTTCCTCTCAGCGCTCCCTTTTTTAAAATTTATTTATTTATTTATATTTTTGAGTCAGAGTCTCCCTCTGTCACCCAGGACAGAATGCAAGGGCATGCTCACGGCCACTGCAGCCTCAATCTGCTGGGCTCAGGTGATCCTTTCGCCTCAGCCTTCCAAGTTGCTGGAACTACAGGCATGGGCCACCACACCCGGCTAATTTTGCCCAGTTGGAGTCCAAGGGAACCGACCCGGGATCACTGTCTGGCTTTGGGACTCGGGTTATCCAAGCATGCTGCAGATGTGCCACCCATGATCACGCGTGTCCCCGCCACCGGGAAACCCAGCGTGGCCCACGACCCTTCCTTTACAGATGAGGGACAGCAGGCAGAAGTCAGTCTCCCTCCCTGCACACCGGTCTCAGGGCACCCGGCAAATGAAAGGGCTTGCCCAGGGCACAGCCAGGGGAGAAGCTGGGTCTCCAGGTCCCCCATGTGCCGCCAGCCGCAGGGCCGGCCTCCCAAGCCCGCGGTCCCAGAGTCCGAATCTCTGCCACCCATCCATTCCCAAGAGGGCATGGAGAAACCTCAGCAAGCATCCACTCACGTCCGTGGGGTTGTCTTCACTGGAAATGTTGACCAGGTAGGTGAGCTCGTCATACAGGAAACTGTCACGCGGGTATGGGTTGCTCCAGGTAAGCAGCAGGGTGTCGGAGACGTTGGTGTGGACCGTGAGGTTCTCCGGGGCCCTGGGCTTCACTGCGGGGGTACATGGCGACTGAGTGAGGGCCCGGGAGGAGGCCCAGCCCCCGCCCACAGACCACAGCCCCTCGGGATGACTGTTGACATGTCCTTGGGGGGCACTGTGCAGACTTTCAGCAGGGACAGAGACGCACATGCCAACGCTGGAGGCAATGCTGCTAGACCCACACTGCGCCGTCGAGGGTCTTGTCTGCTTTTCCACAGCAGCAGCAAGTGGGGGGCCACAGCAGCTGACGCTCCATTTCCCACTGCCGCCCACACCGCGCACTGTGCTATTATTTACCCGGCATCTTTATTTTGATCCACCTGTTGTAAACCTTGGTGTCTTTTTAAGCCATCGTGTCCACCAGACCACTGGTTTATATGCCTGTGACGCATGTCATATGACGCATTACAATCGGCATACGAACATAGGTTTCATTTATATTAAATTCAGAATGTAAAAATTACCTTCCAGTTCACTCATGGGTCACTGTAAACAACCCCCCAACTACAGTGGATCAGGCCTTTGGGAATCACTGATGAGGGGGTGAATGTGAGCCCCGCAAAGGGGACAAGGGGGCTTTGAGTGCCGCCTCTGCTGCCGAGGAGCTGTGTGGCCTGAGGCCGGTCACTTGCCTTCCCTGAACTACATAGTTTATTCATTTGCAAAATGGGATACGAACTCTCTTCTGGAAACACAGGCTCAGAGAGGTAACATGACTTCCCCCCAGGACACACAGCCACGAGTGGTGTTTTAAACCCTTGTCACTACACCCCTCAAGCCTCTGGGGGAATCCCTGCAGGGACTCTGGGTGCCAGGATAAGGTCAGACTTCCACCTTCCATGGTCAAGACCATTCAAAGAAACAGAAGCTGACCGGTCCACAGAGGGTGGAAGGATTGTCCCAACTCCGTGTGAAATCTATAACAAGCCCAGCTGCCATCAAACACGCCTCATTTCAACACGCCTTCCTGGGCACTTACATACTCCATTTCTTGTTTTTGTTTTTTTTTTCTTTATTTTGAGTCAGGGTCTCACTGTGTTGCCCAGGCAGGAGCGCAGTGGCATGATCACGGCTCACTGCAGCCTCACCCTCCTGGGTTCAGGCCATCCTTCCACCTCAGCTTCCCGAGTAGCTCGCACTACAGGCGAGCGCCACCACACTCAGCTAATTTTTTAATTTTTTGTAGAGACAAGGTCTCACTATGTTTCCCGGGTTGTTTTTGAACCCCTGGGCTTAAGCAGTCCTCCCACCTCGGCCACCCAAGTCTTTGCCCACCCCATTTCACAGATGGGAGGACTGAGGCCTAGGAAGGGGTTTGGGAACATGTAGGCGGCTGTCTCCTGCTGCCTGCCTAGACCCTGCCTCCCGTGCCCACCTCCTCCCCAGCCCAGGCCGCTGTGGGAACACCGGCACCCCGCCCAGCCGCCCTGCCCCCTCACCATACTCGCTGGGCTTGAAGGAGCCAGTCCATAGCAGCTGCTGCCTGGCCAGCAAGGCTACCTTGTAGTTGTCTGTTGCGACCATGCCATCCATGGGCATATGGCACACGCACCCCGCACCTTCGCTGTTCTCGGGAACACACGTGAGGATCCTGCAGACACAGGGCTGGGTTAGGCTGGTCACGTGGAGGCTGGCGTGTCCATGCTTGTGCCCAGGGCCGGCCTCAGGGGACCTCATGCTCTTCCAGCTTCCTGGTCACCCCGACCTGAGGGCAGATCCAGAGCCTTGGGAGCGGCCAGGGTGTGGTGGGGACAGTGGTCTGGGGTTGCCCTTCTTGCTGGCCACAGCCCCTCACCTCACCCACCATGAACTCTCCTCATCCCCCGATCCTGGGACTTACCTCATCTCCAACAGCCAGTGAAAAGGAAGGATTGGTGGCACTAATTTATTTATAACCACACGTGTGTGTCCAGTGTTCCTCTGCCTGGCACGGTTCATGCCAGTGCACAGCAGAGTGGCATGCAGCCATGGACATATGCCCCATGCACTGCGGGATAATCCCAACGGGCCACCTCAAACAGCCAACCCACCCGTCACAGGCTAGGCCAGGGGTCCACAAACTTTCTGTGAAAGGCCAGATGGCAAATATCTTAGGCGTTGAGGGCCATAGAGTTTCTGTTGCATCTACTCAACTCTGCGGACATAGCACAAAGCAGTCATAGACTAGAGGTAAATGAATGAGCATGGCTGTGTTCCAATAAAACTTTATTTACAAAAATGGGGGATGGGCTAGACTTGGCCCATGGGCCATAGTCTGCCAATGGCTGGTCTAAGCCAATGGACAAAAGTATAGCCCGTCTGCCTAAGGATAATTGTAAAGATTAAAAAGCACAGCCCGTCTACCTTAGGATAACTTCTATCAGTGAACCACCTGACACCCATGCCACGTCCCACAGTTCACTCACCATCAAAATGACCTCCACTGCCAACACTGTGCCCCCAGTCAGCGTCTAGTCCAGTGATTCTCAAAGTGTGGTCTGGGGGGGTCCACCAGGCCAAACTATTTTCACAACATTACTGAAGATACATTCTTTGCCTCTTTCTCTTATAAGTGAACAGTGGAGTTTTTCAGAGGCTGCATGACACGTGTTGGCCTCCGTGCTCTAAGGACTTGCTGAATGTGGGCTTGTGTGTTGTTGTCATTTAAAATTTCTCAGTTTGGGCTGGGTGTGGTGGCTCACCCCTGTAATTCCAGTACTTTTGGAAGCCAAGGAGGGAGGATCGCTTGAACCCAGGAGTTCGAGACCAGCCTAGGCAACAAAGTGAAAACCTGGTCTCTACAAAAAAAAAAAAAAAAAAAGAAAGAAACTAGCCAGGCATGGTGGGGCATACCTGTAGTCCCGGCTACTTTAGAGGCTGAGATGGGAGGATCGCTTGAGCCTTGAAGATGGAGGCTGCGATGATCCATGATCATGCCACTGCACTGCAGCCTGGACAGCATAGTGAGACCCCCAACTCAAAAATAAACATAAAATTCTCAGCTTTGGGTTGTAATTAGGTAAATGTCGAAGAGCTACGTTATCTAGACAAAAGCTTTTGGGGGTTCTAATTCTTAAGTGTGCAGAAGGGTTCTGAGACCAAAAAGTCTGAGAACTGCTAGTCCAGTCCAGTGTTCCAGTCACATCCACCTGCCGCTTGCCACTGTGACTGCGAGCTCAGAGTACTGTGATGTGCTCCGCTGTATCCCATGCGACCTGTCCCCTGAGATGCAACCATGTCCCCTTAGCACTGCACCCGATAAGCTGCAGCAAACTGCATCTGGCACCTTGTGCTCCATGCTCTGCCCAGACCCAGCTAACTCCTGGGCCCACCCTTTGGGCACAACTTCCCCAACCCCCAGTCCCGTCCTGGCACAGGCTTACTCAGAGAGCAGGAAGTCCAGCTGGTAGGACAGGCGGAGCTCGGCGCTGCAGTTGATGGGGCCATTCATCTGCCACTCGCAGGTGGAGAGGTTGGCATAGTCGGAGAAGCAAGTGGGCTCGCGCAGGACTTTCATACTCCCTGGGGAGACACAGGTGTGCCCTGAGCCGCCGAAACCCCGACGGGGGACTCAGGCTGCTGGGGCAAGTGGGAGACTGGCCCCAACAGCAAAACCACGGTCCCAGGCAGGGCTGCGTGCCAATTTCCAGAGACCTGGGGCCAGGATCGGGACTCCTGAAGCTCAGGACACACACCCTGAGGTGCAGGGTTCACTGGAGGGGAATGAGCTGAAGCACCTTGGTCTTCCACAGACCTGACTCCTGGCCCTTGGCCAAACTGAAGGACGATGACGTTGCAACTTAAGGAGCGTCTTTTCGCCACGGTGGGCATCAGCCAGTGGCTCATCTGTCACTCGGCCCCCACCTCCGTCCCTCTCTGTGCTCGGGAGGCTGACCCCAGGTCTTGGTCCCCGTGCCCTGGTCTTCCGGCTTCCGGTCGGGGGTGACCAATGGGAGAGAGAAGATGGTTGGGCCTGAGGAGACACTGGGGAACTTCTTCTTTTAGCTCCCCCCCCGCAGCCCAAGCTAGCCAGTGGCCACACAGGGGCTGGAATCAGAAGCATGGACACTGGGTTTGCACAACCATCTGGCGGTGGACGCCCCTGCCTCGACGCCCGGCTGCCTTCTTGCTCCCATGCTCAGCACCAGGCCCATCTAAGCCGACATCCATTTTGCATTTGTCTGACAGATTAAGGGTTTACAGTGTTAAGAGGTGATCTTAGACACTGAATAAATATCCCTAGCTCGCCTCGTGTCCCAAACCAATCCTGACTCCTGCCCTGCCCCACATACCGGCTCCTCCCAGAGTCTCCTGCATCTCAGAAATGGCAATCATGCCAGGCACAGAGGCTCACACCTGTAATCTTAACATTCTAGGAGGCCGAAGTGGGAGGCTTGCTTGAGGCCAGGAGTTCGAGACCAGCCTGGGCCATCGCGTGAGACCTCGTCTCCACAAAAATAAAAAATATAAGCTGGGCACGGTGGCATGCACCTGTGGTCCCAGCTACTCAGCAGGCTGAAGTGGTAGGATCGCCTGAGCCCAGGAGGTCGAGGCTGTGGTGAGCCGCGATCACGTCACTGAGCTCTCCATACTGGGAGACAGAGTGAAATTCTTACTCAAAAAAAGATGGTGGGCGGGGGACTGACACCTGTGGAAACCTTGGAGCCATCCTGACTCCTCTCTCTGTCTATGGCTCCAATTCTAATCTGTCCTCACATCTGCCTTCTAGAGGGATTCAGAAGCCTCTCATCTCCCGTCATCTCCTCCACAGGCCCAAGTCCCCACATCCTCTCTCCTGGCGTCCTCCATGGTCCCTTCTCCACTTGGCAGCCTGAAGAGTTCTGTTTAACATCACAAACCCTGTGAGGTCCTTCTGACTCAGCCCACCTGTGTACTGACCTCCCTTTCTCCCTCCCCCTGCTCACTCCCCTCCACCACATCCCTCCCGTGACCTGCCTGGCAGGCTCTCAGGGCACAGCCTCTGCCTAGCTGAGCCTTCCCCAGATATCTGCATGGGATACCCTCCTTCCTCCAGCTGCACAGGTTTCCACCTTCCTCCAACTGGCTCAGCAGTCACCACAACGAAGCCTTCGCTGACCTCTCTCTTTTATTTGTGTGTATTTGAGACTGGGTCTCGCTCTGTTGCCGAGGCTGAAGTGCAGTGGCATAATCATGGCTTAGCCTTGACCTCCTGGGCTCAGGTGATCCTTCTCTATCAGCCTCCTGAGTGGCTGGGACTACAGGTGTGCGCCACCACGTCCAGCTAATTTTTCTATTTTTAATGTTTTTTAGAGACAGGTCTCACTTTGTTGAAAAGACTGGTCTCGAACTCCTGGCTTCAAGCAATCCTCCCTCCTTGGCCTCCCAAAGCGCTGGGATTACGAGCATGAACCACCACACCAGGCCTCCACCCTATTTTAAAATCATAATCTCTCCACTCCACCTGGCTTCCCCAAGCCTCCCTGATTCTGTTCTATGGTTTTTTTTTCCTTCGCTTTCTAAGAATCTTTTTTTTTTTTTTTTTGAGTTGGAGTCTCACTCTGTCACCCAGACTGGAGTACAGTGGCCGCTCCCGGCCACCGCAGCCTCGACCTGCTGGGTTCCAGCGATCCTTCCACCTCAGCCTTCCAAGTAGCTGGAACTACAGGTGCACGCTACCACGCCCGGCTAATTTTTTGATTTATTGTAAAGATGAGGTCTCGCCTGCCCAGGCGGGTCTCGAACCCACAGGCTCAGGCAATCCACTCACCTCAGCCTCCCAAAGGCACGGGATTACAGGCTGAGCCACCGAGCCGGCTCTAAGAATCTTAAGAATGTACTTAGAAGCAGGGCCATCTGTCATTGGCTGACCCTTCCTCTACAGTGTAATCTCCCTGAAGTTAGGTGACGTACCCCAGGACACCAACACGGAGTTAACAGTCAACAAATGAATGACTGGGAGGTGGCGACTTACCAGAGCCCACCACCTGTACCAGGATCAGGCAGCTCACAGGGACCAGGAGCACACAGCAGGGCGGCCCCATTGGGAGACGCTATGGCACCTGCAGAGAGAAGAGGGGCAGGTTAGCAGCGACCAGGCCTCCAGCAGAGCTCACCTCACTCCACACACAACCCTCCCCGCCCTGGCCACAGGCATCTCTGCCCACAGTGGGTCCTCCATGTTCACCGAGTTCTCTACAATAGTCACAAAACACCACCCCGTCCCACAAGCCCCAGAAGGTGTGCCCAGAACACCTGTCTCAGTGTGCTCATCCTTGGAGAGCCATCTCCACACAGTTCTCTGACTATTTCCTCAAAGCTGTCCAGAAGCAGTGGCTCACATCTGTAATCCAGCACTTAGGGAGGCTGAGGTGAGAGACTGCTTGAGCCCAAAAGTTAGAGACCAGCCTAGGCAACACAGTGAGACCTCATCTCTCCAAAAAATTTTTAAAACTTAGCTGGGCATGGTGGCATGGATGGCCTGGGAGGCAGAGGCGGAAGGCTCACTTGAGCCCAGAAGGTAGAGGCTGCTGTGAGCTGTGAGCGTGCCACTGCACTCCACCTGAGTGACAGAGTGAGACTGACTGAAAGAAATAAAAGTGAAATACCTGCTGTCACTTCCTAGGTGTAAACCTTGAGCAAGCTGTGCTTCAGTGCCTCAGTTTCCTTATCTGTAAAGTGGGGCTAATAAGAGCCCCTGTCTCACCGAAGCGTTGTGAGGATTAAGTGACCTAATACACACAGAGCCCTCAAACAGTGATCGGAACACAGCAAAGGCTCCAGTCATGTTACCAGTCGCCTCAGTCCATTCGAGCTGCTGTAACAAAAACATCTTAAGACTGGCCAGGTGCGGTGGCTCACACCTGTAATTCCAGCACTTTGGAAGGTGGAGACAAGAGGACTGCCTGAGCCCAGGGGTTTGAGACCAGCCTGGGCAACTTGGTGAGACCTGTCTCTACAGTAATCAAAAAATTAGCCAGGCGTGGTGGCATGTGCCTGTGGTTCCAGCTACTAGGGAGGCGGAGGAAGAAGGATCTCCTGAGCCCAGCAGGTCAAGGCTGTGGTGGCGTCAGTGTACCACTGCACTCCAGCCAGGGCGACAGAGTGAGACTCCAATTCAAAATAAAATAAAATAAAATAAAAAATACCTCAGACTGGGTAACTCATAAAGAACAGAAATTGAAAACTCCTATTTCTGCAGGCTGGGAAGTCCAAGATCCAATCTCCAGCAGATCCAGGGGCTGACGAGGGCCCGTTCCTCACCGGCCACACCGTGTTGCTGCGTCTTCACACAGTGGCAGAGGAAACACCCTTCCTTCAGCCTCTGCCACAAGGGCGCTGACCCCGTACATGAGGGCAAAGTCCTCGTGACCTCATCACCTCCCAAAGGCCCCCACCTCTTAATACCGTCACATTGGGGATTCGGTGTCGCTTACATGAATTCGGGGGCGGGGGCCGCCACATTCGGGCCATATAACACCAGTTATTCGCAATAAGAAAAAAGTGCTCAGAAGCAGAAACCAGAAATGGAGTCGAGAAGTGTGCACTTTCCCCCCCTTCTGGTACATGACGTCAACTTCCCCGTGGAAGGCAGCATACGGGGTTACCTCCCCTACAATGCTTCCAGCACCCATCCTCTGCTCACTGCTCGGAGTGTCTTGGGGTCTCATTCAAACAAGCGTCCCGAGGCCCGGCCTGCATTCTGCGAGTGGGCAGCCTGGCCCCACCTCCGTCTCCGCCTGGGCCCCGCCCCCTCCCCCCTGGGCCTTCGCCTTCGCCTTCGCCTTGGCATTCCACTCCTGCCATATGCACTTTACTTATTTCCTCACACACGCCACACCCGTTCCCACCCCACCCACCTTTCCATCACTTGGAGGGTCTTTCCCTCCTCCTTTTCAGACTCTCTCTCTCAAAAATATAGACAGTCCACTGGGCGACAGAGCAAAAGTGACCCACATTCAGCGGAACCTGTACTTCAAGTCCCCATACAACCATTCTGTGTCTCACTCCCAGTACAGTACTCAGTACGCAACGTGAGATACTCCACACTTTCTTATGAAACAGACGTTGCCCACCTGTCAGCTAAGCTGAGTATTCCGAGCACATTTCAGGTGGGTGAGGCTAAGCTATGACGTTCAGTAGGTATCACGCCTTACATGCATTTTCGACGCACCGTATTTTCAGCTTAGGGTGGGTTTATCGGGACATAACCCATCATTATTTTGAGCAGCATCTGTCTATGACACACACACATATATCTCCATAACGAATAAATGATCCACTAAAAGTTCGGTGTGTATGTCAGAAAAGCAAGGACATTCTCTATACTACCACAAGACAGTCGTCAAAATCAGGAAGTTAACAGATGCATCACTGCCATCTAATCCACAGACCCTATTTACAATTTGCTAATTGCCTCAGCAATGACCTTGTGTGTCCAGGATTCAATCCAGGGTAATTCACTGCATCTGATTCTCATGCATCCTAGTGCTCAGATCTGGGCTCCTAATTGCTAATCTGCCCCTTAAGAAACCAGAGCTCCTTAGGGAAATGGCTGGTTCTAGCAGAGGGGAAAGTACCAGAGGAACTTGGCATTCCTGTGCCAGAGAGTAAGGAAGTGTTCAGAGAATGACAGGGACAGGTCAAAAGAGACACGGGAGCCAGGTGGAACTGGCTGAAATGGGCACAATTTTAGCATCAAAATAAATACTACAGTAACAGATTGTAACCGCTGGAGTTCAAGTCCGGGAGTTCGTAGTAATACAGAGGGCAGATGTGGTGGCCGAGGCAGGAGGATCACTTGAGCCCAGGAGTTAGAGGCTGCAGTGAGTTATGATTGTGCCACTGCACTGCAGCCTGGGCAACAGAGCGAGACCCCATCTCAAATATATTAATAAAGAAAGAAAGCGGAAAGCTCTATTTTACTATGGCGGCCTTAAAATATCTCCCTGAAAAACTTTGTTGTTTGTCAAAGGAATGAGTCAAAATATGTATTAATTAACTTTCCAGTACAGAAACCTGGCAGACACCTCCCTAACCAGGTGATCTGAGCTAAGTACCAGGCAAGGGCCAAGTCACTGTCACGAGCTCTCTGGAACATCACCCCGAGAAGGGCACAGCGTCATCTCTTGGGAGTTCCTGCCCAAGACGCACACGTCGTGTGGAAGGTCGAACCCCCGTGGACAGCCTGTAGAGAACCCGACCTGTACTCCTCAGAGTGCCTCGGCTGCAGAAGACAGGTGGCGGAAGACGGGTGCAACACTCCTTTGTAATGTCACCCCAAGAGCCGGCACTAATTGTTCACTGCCGGGTCTCTAGTGCCTCCGAAGCAGCCTGGAACACAGCACGGGCTCGGCAGCTGTCGAACACGGGGTGGGGCCCCTGACGGGCTCAGCACAAGGCTGAGCTTGGACCTGGCTTGCTGAGCATCTCAGTGAAGATCAAAAAGGGAAGGGTGGGAATGGGGTGGTGGGTCCCCAACACCATTCTCCTCTGCAAGTCCCTGTAACTTTCACTCTCACAACTTCACAGATGCCCACAGCATCCTGTGGCAGAGATGGCAAGGGCGTCATTTTAACCTCAATTTGGAATAAAGAGAAACAGAGAGGCCAAGATGACTGTCCGAAGCCACACAGCAGAAAGACATTTATAGTAAAGTCCACCAAAGTAGGATAGGGAAGTCTAGTAACCCAGTCAGCGTAGACTAAAATAACAGCACAGTCAGGCTGTTATCCCTTTGTCTTTTCTTTTCTTTCTTTCGTTTTTTTTTGAGTCGAGGTCTCACTCTGTCACCCAGGCTGGAGTGCAGTGGCATGCTCACGGCTACCACAGCCTTGACCTGCTAGACTCAAGTGATCCTCCCACCTTAGCCTCCTAAGCTGGGATTACAGGCACACATCACTATGCCTGGCTTATTTTTTAAATTTTTGCAGAGATGAGGTCTTGCTATGTTGCCCAGGCTGGGCTTGAACTTCTGGGCTCAAGTGATCCTCCTGTCTTGGTCTCCCAAAGTGCTGGGATTATAGGCATGAGCCATTGCACCCAGCCAGGTTGCTATTGTTGATCTGTTGTGGAGAGCACACCCAGACATGTGTGTGCCCACACACATGCACACATACCCCGGCTGGCTTCTCAGGGATGTGTGGGTGCTGCATTTCAGGGGAAGCCACAGCGGGAAGCGGGTGAGAGAGGAAGCCTCCCTGCACATCAGAGGGAGCAAAGGACAAAGATGCAAATCAGTAAATGCATTACAAAAGAGTAACTGCCAGGTTACAGTGACCGAGCATATGGCAAAAGGAGATAGCCAAGTCCCCACACTGAGTCACGGGATCCCTGACGTGCTAGAGCTGGAAGAGGTCTCAGGGGTCGCCTGCCGAGCTCAACTGCCAGCCTGGAGAAGGACACCCTGCAGGCACCCTATCTCTGGCCTCCTGCTGAGCAGTGTCTGCTTGCACTGCTTCCCAGACGGAGCTCTCACTCCCAGGTTTCAGTTGAGCCAAGTCCAAGGACAGGAACAGCTTCCCGATGTTGTGCCAAGGTTTTGTGTCCGCCAAAACCACTGGTCTCGCACTTACCTTTCTACCTGACCCTTGACCAAGTGCTTTCGAAGTGTTCTTTGCAAACCCACCCAAGAATCCTGCAAGACTGGTTGCTAGCCACACTTTCTCGCGAAGGACGCTGAGACCAGAGGAGTCAAGTAATTTGTCTACTAGGTCCCACCACTGGCAAAAGGGCAGAGCTAGAATCAGAACGCGGGTCTGTTTGCCTCCGAGCCCAAGTGTCTGTGCGATGTATCGGTTCCTTCACATTCTCCCAGAACCACAGGCTGCTCCCAGCAAGATGAGAAAGGCAATGAGCTGGGACAGCTGGCCGTCCTGCTTGTCAACGTCAAATATTCGTTGCTCAAGCACAAGCCCAGTGTCTGACTAAGCAGCAAAACACCTGGGGATTTTATTGTCAGTAAAATCCCCATGAGCTCCCGGCCACCGCAGCCTCGACCTGCTGGGCTCCGCCGATCCTTCCGCCTCAGACTTCCATGTAACTGGAACTAC